CAAAGATTTACAATATTTGCAAAAATTGTTGCCAGGCTAGACTCCTAAGTTGTCATCTATATCGTGATGATGATAGTCTTATATGTTAATCTCTCAAGACTACGGCTTATGTTATTCCACATTTTGTCATTATTTCACAATAATGAATTCCTTAAATGCTTTATCAAATAAAGCATTAAAAGGCTGACTATTTGTTGATGGATTGCTATTTCACAATTGTTCCTAATTTTCAAATATCACTAATGCAGTTATACTTCAATATTTATTGTACAATTTTATGTTTGATACATCACGTAACTATGAAGAGAGTTTTTTGCAACAAAGTGAGGTACCCGGTTGGGAGTTGGGACACAATGAAGTGATAATTAATTATGTAAAATAACAGTAAATGATATTATAAAAACAAAATTGATCTTAAAAATCAATATAGTTCAATCTATATGCATAAAGTAGTTTTATTTATATTCTCATCGATATTTTACATCTTGACAACTAATCCTAAACAATTAAATTAACAGAAGACTTTACTTAGATTTGTTTATACCATTGAATGGTTAGAATAACTAACAAATCCGCTATTATCGATCACACTATCTATTATCATCTACGATGATTGTCAAATAGTTCTCTAATGTTTAGTGAGTACATGTTATAAATGACACTCTCTGTGCTTGTAAAGGTTTGATAATTTAATCTCTCCGATCTACTTTACCAATTATATTTAAAAAGTATAATTATGTAATTAATATTTTTCTTGGTATAACTAAATGAGACAACTATTAAAGACAACTTTTAAGGAGTATAAATTCTAAAGGGAAATGGTGTTTGTGCATGTTTCTCGTACACACCATTTTACACGCTGGTCGAATTGTCTGCGCACAGACAATTTTTTTCATTTTATGAAGAAATTGCTTTTCGCCTCGACAAATCTTTCTTTGTCACAGAAAAAATTGTCAATACATATAATGCACTTGGATTGTTTTCTATCACAGACCAGACTTGAATACTTATAAAATACACATAAATCATGTTTATATCAGATAAGAATGAATCAGACCAGAAAATTCTAGTCCGGACTAATTTGCTAATGGACATTTTTCTAAACGAAAAGTGAAAAGTACGAGTCTGGCCATGATAATGATTTAGAAACGCGACAAATAGCCCGATTGGTAACACTGAAATCGAGAGGATCAACTGACTGTGCTGAAATTTATGAAGTTTGGCTGAAGTGAATGTATTGGCTGATTCTGCTGATTTATAAAAAAAAATTAAAATATACTCGGTCCGTCCCACTAAGATTGTCTCATACCAAATTTGGTAAAGTTTGTGTGTCTCTAAATCATTCTTACTTTATTCTTACTTTATCAATTCAATATCAAACACATAAACCACTTTTTATTAATTTGTGTGTCACTCCGTCTTGTCTCGTTGTTAGCGGGACGGAAGGAGTATTTCATTAATAAAATAAATAAAAAATTATATGAAAAATAGTTAAAATGATCATTTATAGTAACTTCAACCAATACAACCTGAAAAGTAACCACAACCTTACTTTTTCTTATTACAATACAATTCAGCGCGTGAAATCAATAGTTACATATTTGGTTAAAAAGTTGGCTGATAAGCCTGATAAGCCGAAAAACAGAATTACTTAACGGACTCAAAGTGGTTTTCTTTGAGCAGCGATGCTGTTTAACACAGTTGAATTCTCGATTAAAAAAAAACTTTGAATTCCTGGTGCAGCCATTGAACAGTGCCTGTAAATCGGAGAAGTGCAGTCATGTGAACCGGAATGACGGGTGCTCTGTCGAGGGTTTCCCTCTTCAAAGAAGAAATCCATTTAAATGGTTTATTTAGACTGCGACGTTGCCCACTCGATTTTCAGTTGTGGCATCTCAATGCTTCGTTTGACAAAAAATGGGAACAAAGAACTGGGAATGTTTTGGAGAGGCTTTGGCACGTCACCGACAAGCCATCGAAGTTGATTATGAGTGTCGAGTTGAAGCTGTAGCTGGTGGTGAAATCAAATAGGCGGCGATGATAGGTACTTGCAGAAGGCTAGGAGTAGGATGTCGTCGCCTCGATCCATGAGTGACAAGGGGACCTATGTCTTCGTGTGCACTACTGTGCGCACCTATTCCGTGACCTTTTTCTCTTGGAGTGGATGTGTGATCATGCGCTTGATTCTTGGTTTTATACAATTTCCTTGGTTAAAAAAAGTTATGTCTGAACTGTTTGGATCGGCTGATTTTATGCTAATTTATGAAGAAGAAAAAATGTAAAATATTTTACATTAATAAAATAAAGAAAATTATTCGAAAAATAACTAAAATGATCCTCTAAGTAACTTCAACCAATACAGTCAGAAAAGTAACTTCAATATTACATTTTCTTGTTTATTACACAATTCAGCGCACAAAATCAAAAGTTATGCGTTTGGTGAACAAGTTAGTTGACAAGTCTGATAAGCCAAAAACATGGTCACCTAATAGGCCATGTGGTAGTAATACACTAATACTCATACACATACCTTGTACATGAGGAATATATCATAAATAATTTCATTGTGTAAACTTGTGAAAATGAAACAAAGCATAGAAACACTATTATTAAGGGTGAGATGAAAACATTATAGTGATAGTGCAAAATTAATGTTACATGATAACGAAAGAATATAATGGAAAAATATTTAAAGGAAGTGAAAGATGATAAAGATTAAAACACACGTAATGGGAACGCCTTTTAAATTTTGTTGTTGTTGAGTGGTTATGATTTAAAAATTAAAACATTCCGATATAAAAATAAATAATGTTTGAATTTCAATTAAATGTTGTTACTTTAAACCTATGTTTTATTTTGGACTGTTTTGAGTCCCGGATCGGACCAGACAAGACTTTAACAGACTAGACTAAACCAGACTTAAACAGATCAAACAAGATCAGATTAGACTTGGACAATTATAAAATACACAAAGACCTGACATTTATGAGACCAGACTAGACCAGTTCAGAACAGACCAGACCAGCAAATTTCAATCCAAAAGAAAGCATCCTTACTATCATTAATGAATCATGTCTTTCTAAATCACTCATGTGTCCCACATCTTAGATGATAGTTACAGTCATTTGCATATTCAAACACACACACACACATTGTCATATATTGATTAGGAAAACAGATATGCTTTAGTAATATTAATGTACGCTTTCAAGCCCGTGTGATGCACGGGCAGTATCTAATTTAGCTAATTTGAAATTTAATTTCTATCGGATCACATGTAATGTGATTCAAAAGAAAAATAAACTTAATCTAATATAGAGTCTGTTTGATAATACTAAAGTAAATAGAATTAACTTATTTTGCTTAAATTGATTGAATTCTGGTTAAATAGGTGGAATCTTCTGAATCATGAAAAATATATGTGAAATATATTCCATTTGTGAAACAAAGAAAAAGATATATGAAAAAGAGTTAAATTGGTCTTCTACATAAGCATCTCAAGTAAACATAATTGTTATGAATCCAATAAAAAAAATCTATATTTCTTAATTGTTAGATCTTACGGTTTACTCATTAATAAGAACATTTTTAATTGAATTAAAATTTCAAGTTTGATTTGGTATGAATTAATATAGTCTATTAGATGTCTGTTTTTTATGTGACTTATTGTTATAATTATTAAAGTTTGATCTGATCTGATTTAATCTAGAACTGAAATCAATCCAATTAAAAACATTCTATTAAAATAAAAGTAGGAATTCGTAAACCTATAAAGATTTTCTAATTTGGATTAGGAATCTATTTCAAAAGTGAAGGCATATTTGAATTTTAGGTGTAAAATAAAGAAACAACCAAAAAAAATTACTTATTTGGCTAAGCTAAACAAATTTACTTGTGAAAATATATATACTTTATGTTGGTTATAATTTTTAATTTCATTTTAATTATTTACTTATTTGAAGCTTACTAATTTATTATAAGGTGTCAAATTAATAAGTAAACTAATTTGCATATTTGTTTCTGTTTAATTCGGTGTAGTAAACTAATATAAAGTATTTTACATATCAATAAACGTTATTAGAATTTCACTTTGATAAACAAAAATTATTTTACTTATTTGAAGCTTACCAAATTAATTAAGGTGGATTTATAAGGATTTTTGTTTCCATATCAATATGCAATCAGAAATAGAATCTAATAAAAACAAAAGGTATAAAAATAAGTAAATAATTGTTATATATAATGACATGGCAGGATTATGTGGTGCTTTGTATGCTCTTAAAAAGTTCCTCTTTTATATATATATTGATTTTTTCCAAGATTAATTTTTGTCTCATGTTTGCAACTATGATGACTCTATTTTTTAATTAAAATGCAAACGTAATTTTTTATTCTTCGGTTTATCAGTGTTTTACCATCTTATATTTTTGAGAAAATTCTCAAAGTATGAGTAAAAATGTTTGAGAATTCCAAAATAGGGTTGTCATGTTTTTTTATTGCCTAAGTAGGTTTAATTACTGCTAAACATAGACAATAGAGCCATGTTTAAAGTTTGTTACTGCCAAAACATGACATTAATTATTCCTATTTAGGGAATAAAAACGTGATAGTCCCATTTTGAAATATACAAACATTTTTAGTCTCATTTAGAGTAATTTCCCTAATTTTTTATAGTACATGGTAATATATTATGTGCTCACTTTAATACTATGAATGTGTACACATTTCTCATTCGGTGAGTTGCTTAAGTTGGCCCAGTTTCATTCAGTGAATAGAATCAATAGATGCACTCAATAATATAGTGTATATTTGAATTGAATGGTGAAAATTGTGGCGTTATATAAGCATCAACGACACTTTAATGGTGTTTAATTTATTTTAAGTAACGTGTATTTCCTCCTTAATGAGTAAGATCTTTTCCATATTTCTTTTAATTTTTTGTTCACTTTTTTTATTATAAGTAGGTAATTGCAGCTCACAATGGTACATAGACTTTTCTGATTTCAAACACACAATACTTTCTTCATCCTAAGTTCATTTACGTCACTACATCCTCAGGGAATATGGCTTCATGCAATCAAATTATCTTCTTCACTTCCCTCATTGTATTTGGTATGTGCTATATAGTATATATCATATATCTAGTTGAAATGTTGTATTCATTTTATCCTTTATACTCCTTTGGAATTGATACTTGAAAACTCCATTTTCAGTATAAAGTTTTTGGGATTCTATTTAAAATATGAATGATGTTCGGAGTTTTTTTCTTCTAGAACATAATGTTGTTGAATCTCATGACTCATCCCAACTATATACATGTGCAAGTATTTTTACAATTTAGCTGTTATTTACTCCTGATATTTACACCGTACCTTTTAATTATCATTATCTGTTAAATTAATTTATTTTTTCGAATTTTCACTAAGATTACATTTGGCCTCCTTAATATGAATTGCTAACCCAATTTTCAATTATCATCGTCGTCATCATTATTTTGAATTTATTAGCCTTTTTATTGTTGTTGTTATTATCCTCATCCTCATAATATGGCAGGTATTCTATTCATGAGGAATAATGTTGAAAAAGTTGAGGCTGCAGACATCTTCTGCACACAAGAATGCAACCCTGAAGCGTTCTATATGCTATGCCCACAAAATAACACAAAGATTTACAATATTTGCAAAAATTGTTGCCAGGCTAGACTCCTAAGTTGTCATCTATATCGTGATGATGATAGTCTTATATGTTAATCTCCCAAGACTACGGCTTATGTTATTCCACATTTTGTCATTATTTCACAATAATGAATTCCTTAATTGCTTTGTCAAATAAAGCATATAAAGGCTGACTATTTGTTGATGGATTGCTATTTCACAATTGTTCCTGATTTTCAAATATCACTAATGCAGTTATACTTCAATATTTATTGTACAATTTTATGTTTGATACATCACGTAACTATGAAGAGAGTTTTTTGCAACAAAGTGAGGTACCCGGTTGGGAGTTGGGACACAATGAAGTGATAATTAATTATGTAAAATAACAGTAAATGATATTATAAAAAAAATTGATCTTAAAAATCAATATATTTCAATCTATATGCATAAAGTAGTTTTATTTATATTCTCATCGATATTTTACATCTTGACAACTAATCCTAAACAATTAAATTAACAGAAGACTTTACTTAGAATTGTTTATACCATTGAATGGTTAGAATAACTAACAAATCCGCTATTATCGATCACACTATCTATTATCAGCTACGATGATTGTCAAATAATTCTCTAATGTTTAGTGAGTACATGTTATAAATGACACTCTCTGTGCTTGTAAAGGTTTGATAATTTAATCGCTCCAATCTACTTTACCAATTATATTTAAAAAGTATAATTATGTAATTAATATTTTTCTTGGTATAACTAAATGAGACAACTATTAAAGACAAATTTTAAGGAGTATAAATTCTAAAGGGAAATGGTGTTTGTGCATGTTTTTCGTACACACCATTTTACACGCTGGTCGAATTGTCTGTGCACAGACAATTTTTTTCATTTTATGAAGAAATTGCTTTTCACCTCGACAAATCTTTCTTTGTCACAGAAAAAATTGTTAATACATATAATGCACTTGGATTGTTTTCTATCACAGACCAGACTTGAATACTTATAAAATACACATAAATCATGTTTATATCAGATAAGAATGAATCAGACCAGAAAATTCTAGTCCGGACTACATTTGCTAATGGACATTTTTCTAAACGAAAAGTGAAAAGTACGAGTCTGGCCATGATAATGATTTAGAAACGCGACAAATAGCCCGATTGGTAACACTGAAATCGAGAGGATCAGCTGACTGTGCTGAAATTTATGAAGTTTGGCTGAAGTGAATGTATTGGCTGATTCTGCTGATTTATAAAAACAAATTAAAATATACTCGGTCCGTCCCACTAAGATTGTCTCATACCAAATTTGGTAAAGTTTGTGTGTCTCTAAATCATTCTTACTTCATTCTTACTTTATCAATTCAATATCAAACACATAAACCACTTTTTATTAATTTGTGTGTCACTCCCTCTTGTCTCATTGTTAGCGGGACGGAGGGAGTATTTCATTAATAAAATAAATAAAAAATTATATGAAAAATAGTTAAAATGATCATTTATAGTAACTTCAACCAATACAACCAGAAAAGTAACCACAACCTTACTTTTTCTTATTACAATACAATTCAGCGCGTGAAATCAATAGTTACATATTTGGTTAAAAAGTTGGCTGATAAGCCTGGTAAGCCGAAAAACAGAATTACTTAACGAACTCAAAGTGGTTTTCTTTGAGCAGCGATGCTGTTTAACACAGTTGAATTCTCGATTAAAAAAAAACTTTGAATTCCTGGTGCAGCCATTGAACAGTGCCTGTAAATCGGAGAAGTGCAGTCATGTAAACCGGAATGACGGGTGCTCTGTCGAGGGTTTCCCTCTTCAAAGAAGAAATCCATTTAAATGGTTTATTTAGACTGCGACGTTGCCCACTCGATTTTCAGTTGTGGCATCTCAATGCTTCGTTTGACAAAAAATGGGAACAAATTAAAGAACTGGGAATGTTTTGGAGAGGCTTTGGCAGGTCACCGACAAGCCATCAAAGTTGATTATGAGTGTCGAGTTGAAGCTGTAGCTGGTGGTGAAATCAAATAGGCGGCGATGATAGGTACTTGCAGAAGGCTAGGAGTAGGATGTCGTCGCCTCGATCCATGAGTGACAAGGGGACCTATGTCTTCGTGTGCACTACTGTGCGCACCTATTCCGTGACCTTTTTCTCTTGGAGTGGATGTGTGATCATGCGCTTGATTCTTGGTTTTATACAATTTCCTTGGTTAAAAAAAGTTATGTCTGAACTGTTTGGATCGGCTGATTTTATGCTAATTTATGAAGAAGAAAAAATGTAAAATATTTTACATTAATAAAATAAAGAAAATTATTCGAAAAATAACTAAAATGATCCTCTAAGTAACTTCAACCAATACAGTCAGAAAAGTAACTTCAATATTACATTTTCTTGTTTATTACACAATTCAGCGCACAAAATCAAAAGTTATGCGTTTGGTGAACAAGTTAGTTGACAAGTCTGATAAGCCAAAAACATGGTCACCTAATAGGCCATGTGGTAGTAATACACTAATACTCATACACATACCTTGTACATGAGGAATATATCATAAATAATTTCATTGTGTAAACTTGTGAAAATGAAACAAAGCATAGAAACACTATTATTAAGGGTGAGATGAAAACATTATAGTGATAGTGCAAAATTAATGTTACATGATAACGAAAGAATATAATGGAAAAATATTTAAAGGAAGTGAAAGATGATAAAGATTAAAACACACGTAATGGGAACGCCTTTTAAATTTTGTTGTTGTTGAGTGGTTATGATTTAAAAATTAAAACATTCCGATATAAAAATAAATAATGTTTGAATTTCAATTAAATGTTGTTACTTTAAACCTATGTTTTATTTTGGACTGTTTTGAGTCCCGGATCGGACCAGACAAGACTTTAACAGACTAGACTAAACCAGACTTAAACAGATCAAACAAGATCAGATTAGACTTGGACAATTATAAAATACACAAAGACCTGACATTTATGAGACCAGACTAGACCAGTTCAGAACAGACCAGACCAGCAAATTTCAATCCAAAAGAAAGCATCCTTACTATCATTAATGAATCATGTCTTTCTAAATCACTCATGTGTCCCACATCTTAGATGATAGTTACAGTCATTTGCATATTCAAACACACACACACACATTGTCATATATTGATTAGGAAAACAGATATGCTTTAGTAATATTAATGTACGCTTTCAAGCCCGTGTGATGCACGGGCAGTATCTAATTTAGCTAATTTGAAATTTAATTTCTATCGGATCACATGTAATGTGATTCAAAAGAAAAATAAACTTAATCTAATATAGAGTCTGTTTGATAATACTAAAGTAAATAGAATTAACTTATTTTGCTTAAATTGATTGAATTCTGGTTAAATAGGTGGAATCTTCTGAATCATGAAAAATATATGTGAAATATATTCCATTTGTGAAACAAAGAAAAAGATATATGAAAAAGAGTTAAATTGGTCTTCTACATAAGCATCTCAAGTAAACATAATTGTTATGAATCCAATAAAAAAAATCTATATTTCTTAATTGTTAGATCTTACGGTTTACTCATTAATAAGAACATTTTTAATTGAATTAAAATTTCAAGTTTGATTTGGTATGAATTAATATAGTCTATTAGATGTCTGTTTTTTATGTGACTTATTGTTATAATTATTAAAGTTTGATCTGATCTGATTTAATCTAGAACTGAAATCAATCCAATTAAAAACATTCTATTAAAATAAAAGTAGGAATTCGTAAACCTATAAAGATTTTCTAATTTGGATTAGGAATCTATTTCAAAAGTGAAGGCATATTTGAATTTTAGGTGTAAAATAAAGAAACAACCAAAAAAAATTACTTATTTGGCTAAGCTAAACAAATTTACTTGTGAAAATATATATACTTTATGTTGGTTATAATTTTTAATTTCATTTTAATTATTTACTTATTTGAAGCTTACTAATTTATTATAAGGTGTCAAATTAATAAGTAAACTAATTTGCATATTTGTTTCTGTTTAATTCGGTGTAGTAAACTAATATAAAGTATTTTACATATCAATAAACGTTATTAGAATTTCACTTTGATAAACAAAAATTATTTTACTTATTTGAAGCTTACCAAATTAATTAAGGTGGATTTATAAGGATTTTTGTTTCCATATCAATATGCAATCAGAAATAGAATCTAATAAAAACAAAAGGTATAAAAATAAGTAAATAATTGTTATATATAATGACATGGCAGGATTATGTGGTGCTTTGTATGCTCTTAAAAAGTTCCTCTTTTATATATATATTGATTTTTTCCAAGATTAATTTTTGTCTCATGTTTGCAACTATGATGACTCTATTTTTTAATTAAAATGCAAACGTAATTTTTTATTCTTCGGTTTATCAGTGTTTTACCATCTTATATTTTTGAGAAAATTCTCAAAGTATGAGTAAAAATGTTTGAGAATTCCAAAATAGGGTTGTCATGTTTTTTTATTGCCTAAGTAGGTTTAATTACTGCTAAACATAGACAATAGAGCCATGTTTAAAGTTTGTTACTGCCAAAACATGACATTAATTATTCCTATTTAGGGAATAAAAACGTGATAGTCCCATTTTGAAATATACAAACATTTTTAGTCTCATTTAGAGTAATTTCCCTAATTTTTTATAGTACATGGTAATATATTATGTGCTCACTTTAATACTATGAATGTGTACACATTTCTCATTCGGTGAGTTGCTTAAGTTGGCCCAGTTTCATTCAGTGAATAGAATCAATAGATGCACTCAATAATATAGTGTATATTTGAATTGAATGGTGAAAATTGTGGCGTTATATAAGCATCAACGACACTTTAATGGTGTTTAATTTATTTTAAGTAACGTGTATTTCCTCCTTAATGAGTAAGATCTTTTCCATATTTCTTTTAATTTTTTGTTCACTTTTTTTATTATAAGTAGGTAATTGCAGCTCACAATGGTACATAGACTTTTCTGATTTCAAACACACAATACTTTCTTCATCCTAAGTTCATTTACGTCACTACATCCTCAGGGAATATGGCTTCATGCAATCAAATTATCTTCTTCACTTCCCTCATTGTATTTGGTATGTGCTATATAGTATATATCATATATCTAGTTGAAATGTTGTATTCATTTTATCCTTTATACTCCTTTGGAATTGATACTTGAAAACTCCATTTTCAGTATAAAGTTTTTGGGATTCTATTTAAAATATGAATGATGTTCGGAGTTTTTTTCTTCTAGAACATAATGTTGTTGAATCTCATGACTCATCCCAACTATATACATGTGCAAGTATTTTTACAATTTAGCTGTTATTTACTCCTGATATTTACACCGTACCTTTTAATTATCATTATCTGTTAAATTAATTTATTTTTTCGAATTTTCACTAAGATTACATTTGGCCTCCTTAATATGAATTGCTAACCCAATTTTCAATTATCATCGTCGTCATCATTATTTTGAATTTATTAGCCTTTTTATTGTTGTTGTTATTATCCTCATCCTCATAATATGGCAGGTATTCTATTCATGAGGAATAATGTTGAAAAAGTTGAGGCTGCAGACATCTTCTGCACACAAGAATGCAACCCTGAAGCGTTCTATATGCTATGCCCACAAAATAACACAAAGATTTACAATATTTGCAAAAATTGTTGCCAGGCTAGACTCCTAAGTTGTCATCTATATCGTGATGATGATAGTCTTATATGTTAATCTCCCAAGACTACGGCTTATGTTATTCCACATTTTGTCATTATTTCACAATAATGAATTCCTTAATTGCTTTGTCAAATAAAGCATATAAAGGCTGACTATTTGTTGATGGATTGCTATTTCACAATTGTTCCTGATTTTCAAATATCACTAATGCAGTTATACTTCAATATTTATTGTACAATTTTATGTTTGATACATCACGTAACTATGAAGAGAGTTTTTTGCAACAAAGTGAGGTACCCGGTTGGGAGTTGGGACACAATGAAGTGATAATTAATTATGTAAAATAACAGTAAATGATATTATAAAAAAAATTGATCTTAAAAATCAATATATTTCAATCTATATGCATAAAGTAGTTTTATTTATATTCTCATCGATATTTTACATCTTGACAACTAATCCTAAACAATTAAATTAACAGAAGACTTTACTTAGAATTGTTTATACCATTGAATGGTTAGAATAACTAACAAATCCGCTATTATCGATCACACTATCTATTATCAGCTACGATGATTGTCAAATAATTCTCTAATGTTTAGTGAGTACATGTTATAAATGACACTCTCTGTGCTTGTAAAGGTTTGATAATTTAATCGCTCCAATCTACTTTACCAATTATATTTAAAAAGTATAATTATGTAATTAATATTTTTCTTGGTATAACTAAATGAGACAACTATTAAAGACAAATTTTAAGGAGTATAAATTCTAAAGGGAAATGGTGTTTGTGCATGTTTTTCGTACACACCATTTTACACGCTGGTCGAATTGTCTGTGCACAGACAATTTTTTTCATTTTATGAAGAAATTGCTTTTCACCTCGACAAATCTTTCTTTGTCACAGAAAAAATTGTTAATACATATAATGCACTTGGATTGTTTTCTATCACAGACCAGACTTGAATACTTATAAAATACACATAAATCATGTTTATATCAGATAAGAATGAATCAGACCAGAAAATTCTAGTCCGGACTACATTTGCTAATGGACATTTTTCTAAACGAAAAGTGAAAAGTACGAGTCTGGCCATGATAATGATTTAGAAACGCGACAAATAGCCCGATTGGTAACACTGAAATCGAGAGGATCAGCTGACTGTGCTGAAATTTATGAAGTTTGGCTGAAGTGAATGTATTGGCTGATTCTGCTGATTTATAAAAACAAATTAAAATATACTCGGTCCGTCCCACTAAGATTGTCTCATACCAAATTTGGTAAAGTTTGTGTGTCTCTAAATCATTCTTACTTCATTCTTACTTTATCAATTCAATATCAAACACATAAACCACTTTTTATTAATTTGTGTGTCACTCCCTCTTGTCTCATTGTTAGCGGGACGGAGGGAGTATTTCATTAATAAAATAAATAAAAAATTATATGAAAAATAGTTAAAATGATCATTTATAGTAACTTCAACCAATACAACCAGAAAAGTAACCACAACCTTACTTTTTCTTATTACAATACAATTCAGCGCGTGAAATCAATAGTTACATATTTGGTTAAAAAGTTGGCTGATAAGCCTGGTAAGCCGAAAAACAGAATTACTTAACGAACTCAAAGTGGTTTTCTTTGAGCAGCGATGCTGTTTAACACAGTTGAATTCTCGATTAAAAAAAAACTTTGAATTCCTGGTGCAGCCATTGAACAGTGCCTGTAAATCGGAGAAGTGCAGTCATGTAAACCGGAATGACGGGTGCTCTGTCGAGGGTTTCCCTCTTCAAAGAAGAAATCCATTTAAATGGTTTATTTAGACTGCGACGTTGCCCACTCGATTTTCAGTTGTGGCATCTCAATGCTTCGTTTGACAAAAAATGGGAACAAATTAAAGAACTGGGAATGTTTTGGAGAGGCTTTGGCAGGTCACCGACAAGCCATCAAAGTTGATTATGAGTGTCGAGTTGAAGCTGTAGCTGGTGGTGAAATCTAATAGGCGGCGATGATAGGTACTTGCAGAAGGCTAGGAGTAGGATGTCGCCTCGATCCATGAGTGACAAGGGGACCTATGTCTTCGTGTGCACTACTGTGCACACCTATTCCGTGACCTTTTTCTCTTGGAGTGGATGTGTGATCATGCGCTTGATTCTTGGTTTTATACAATTTCCTTGGTTAAAAAAAGTTATGTCTGAACTGTTTGGATCGGCTGATTTTATGCTAATTTATGAAGAAGAAAAAATGTAAAATATTTTACATTAATAAAATAAAGAAAAGTTATACGAAAAATAACTAAAATGATCCTCTAAGTAACTTCAACCAATACAGTCAGAAAAGTAACTTCAATATTACATTTTCTTGTTTATTACACAATTCAGCGCACAAAATCAAAAGTTATGCGTTTGGTGAAAAAGTTAGTTGACAAGTCTGATAAGCCAAAAACATGGTCACCTAATAGGCCCTGTGGTAGTAATACACTAATACTCATACACATACCTTGTACATGAGGAATGTATCATAAATAATTTCATTGTGTAAACTTGTGAAATGAAACAAAGCATAGAAACACTATTATTAAGGGTGAGATGAAAACATTATAGTGATAGTGCAAAATTAATGTTACATGATAACGAAAGAATAATATGGAAAAATATTTAAAGGAAGCGAAAGATGATAAAGATTAAAACACACGTAATGGGAACGCCTATTAAATTTTTTTGTTGTTGAGTGGTTATGATTTAAAAATTAAAACATTCCTATATAAAAATAAATAATTTTTGAATTTCAATTTAATGTTGTTACTTTAAACCTATGTTTTATTTTGGACTGTTTTTAGTCCCGGATCGGACCAGACAAGACTTTAAAAGACTAGACTAGACCAGACTTAAACAGATCAGACAAGATCAGATTAGACTTGGACAATTATAAAATACACAAAGACCTGACATTTATGAGACCAGACTAGACCAGTTCAGAACAGACCAGACCAGCAAATTTCAATCCAAAAGAAAGCATCCTTACTATCATTAATGAATCATGTCTTTCTAAATCACTCATGTGTCCCACGTCTTAGATGATAGTTACAGTCATTTGCATATTCAAACACACACACACACATTGTCATATATTGATTAGGAAAACAGATATGCTTTAGTAATATTAATGTATGCTTTCAAGCCCGTGTGATGCACGGGCAGTATCTAATTTAGCTAATTTGAAATTTAATTTCTATCGGATCACATGTAATGTGATTTAAAAGAAAAATAAACTTAGTCTAATATAGAGTCAGTTTGATAATACTAAAGTAAATAGAATTAACTTATTTTTCTTAAATTGATTGAATTCTGGTTAAATAGTTGGAATCTTTTGAATCATGAAAAATATATGTGAAATATATTCCATTTGTGAAACAAAGAAAAAGATATATGAAAAAGAGTTAAATTGGTCTTCTACATAAGCATCTCAAGTAAACATAATTGTTATGAATCCAATAAAAAAAATCTATATTTTTTAATTGTTAGATCTTACGGTTTACTCATTAATAAGAACATTTTTAATTGAATTAAAATTTCAAGTTTGATTTGGTATGAATTAATATGGTCTATTAGATGTCTGTTTTTTATTTGACTTATTGTTATAATTATTAAAGTTTGATTTGATCTCATTTAATCTAGAACTGAAATCAATCCAATTAAAAACATTCTATTAAAATAAAAGTAGGAATTCGTAAACCTATAAAGATTTTCTAATTTGGATTAGGAATCTATTTCAAAAGTGACGGCATATTTGAATTTTAGGTGTTAAATAAAGAAACAACCAAAAAAATTTACTTATTTGGCTAAGCTAAACAAATTTACTTGTGAAAATATATATATACTTTATGTTGGTTATAATTTTTAATTTCATTTAAATTATTTACTTATTTGAAGCTTACTAATTTATTAATAGGTGTCAAATTAATAAGTAAACTAATTTGCATATTTGTTTCTATTTAATTCGGTGTAGTAAATTAATATAAATTAGTTTACATATCAATAAACGTTATTAGAATTTCACTTTGATAAACAAAAATTATTTTACTTATTTGAAGCTTACCAAATTAATTAAGGTAGATTTATAAGGATTTTTGTTTCCATATCAATATGCAATCAGAAATAGAATCTAATAAAAACAATAGGTATAAAAATAAGTAAATAAATGTTATATATAATGACATGGCAGGATTATGTGGTGCTTTGTATGCTCTTAAAAAGTTCCTCTTTTATATATATATTGATTTTTTCCAAGATTAGTTTCTGTCTCATGTTTGCAACTATGATGACTCTATTTTTTAATTAAAATGCAAACGTAATTTTTTATTCTTCGGTTTATCAGTGTTTTACCATCTTATATTTTTGAGAAAATTCTCAAAGTATGAGTAAAATGTTTGAGAATTCCAAAATAGGGTTGTCATATTTTTTTATTGCCTAAGTAGGTTTAATTACTGCTAAACTTAGACAATAGAGCCATGTTTAAAGTTTGATACTGCCAAAACATGACATTAATTATTCCTATTTAGGGAATAAAAACGTGATAGTCCCATTTTGAAATATACAAACATTTTTAGTCTCATTTAGAGTAATTTCCCTGATTTTTTATAGTACATGGTAATATATTATGTGCTCACTTTAATACTATGAATGTGTACACATTTCTCATTCGGTGAATTGCTTAAGTTGGCCCAGTTTTATTCACTGAATAGAATCAATAGATGCACTCAATAATATAGTGTATATTTGAATTGAATGGTGAAAATTGTGGCGTTATATAAGCATCAACGACACTTTAATGGTGTTTAATTTATTTTAAGTAATTAACGTGTATTTCCTCCTTAATGAGTAAGATCTTTTCCATATTTCTTTTAATTTTTTGTTCACTTTTTTATTATAAATAGGTAATTGCAGCTCACAATGGTACATAGACTTTTCTGATTTCAAACACACAATACTTTCTTCATCCTAAGTTCATTTACGTCACTACTTCCTCAGGGAATATGGCTTCATGCAATCAAATTATCTTCTTCACTTCCCTCATTGTATTTGGTATGTGTTATATAGTATATATCATATATCTAGTTGAAATGTTGTATTCATTTTATCCTTTATACTCCTTTGGAATTGATACTTGAAAACTCCATTT